AATGAGCGTTAAGTTGATCGATATAGAACAGAACTATTTGTAAAGATTTACTAATCTGAGATGGCAAAAGGGTAACTGCGTCATGAGCCTTAAATTGGAAAACCTTCTTAGCAGACATTTCGTACCCACCTGCGTAGTATTATACATAAAGAACGATGTATAGAGACTAACACACTTCGCTTGATAGTCTGATCGCTGATCACCTTTTCTCTAACGCGTTTTCCATTTGTCGCTTAAATACAAGCACACGCGCGCACACATACAGTCAAACGAAGAAAATGTATTGTGAAACTTTAATGTGACTATCTACGGATAAACCGTACGAGCAATTATTTTATTCATTTGTATCGCACGAGAAGTGCCGTCATTAACCGCACATACGTCTCTGAGAGGATATAAATTAATTTTTTTTTTCGTTAGCCCAAATCCCGTGACGTCTGCAATAAAATCTCAAATACCCATCTAATATCTGAGTGAAGTGCGTATGGCACGAAACTCCTATCTCTGCTGCCGGCGAACACGGTGACACGTTATATACGACGGCGTTACTGCAGGAGCAGGATCCGCTAGGACTTGACCCCATCGTAGTCGTCGTCGCCAGGGCATTCCGTAATTTCTGCCATGGTCATTTGTCATTAGAGCTTTCCGGTTGAACGTCATCAATCATGGTCTTTAACATTGTGTGCGGCGTGCCATCCGTCCGCCCGTTCGTTTTGGGACGCACGCGCGTACGATAATGCGACGACATGTTGTCATTGTGCGCTTGTGTCTCTGTGTGTACCTACTACGGTCACAATGACGACACGTCACTAACCGGCGGAGCAAGAATAGAGGCAACAGCGGTCCCTTGTGTTTTCACACGCGTTTCCGTTCACACGTATCCCATTACTGCGGTCTTATATACATATATATAGAGATTTATACCTGGTATGGGTTATGCTGTGAACGTGGGCCACGCGACCGGCTGCGCGGGGTCGATATTTATTCAAATCGTTTTCTACCACGACGCGTCGGCGTTCGGCGATTTGGGCTGTGAAAATCCGTCGCTGAACGGTTTCTACATAACAACAGTATATAATTTAATACATCGTGATATATGTAATAACTGCCGTTGTCCGCTGCAGTGATGGCTGCGAAACCATCTCCACTTACTAAAAGCACTCGGACACTGCGTAAGTGTAGTCCATGTGCGCTCGTGTGCGTCGTTTTCAGCGGGTCGCATCCGTCCCTCCTGCAGGTAACCGCACATGACTGTATGAGAGTACCCACTGGTGGATAGAATCCGTTCATATATTACGTTATTATGTTAATAAGATAAGAATATATTCGATCGCAATATCTTGCCACGACCCCTGCAACCACGATATCCTTTAGCCGTGGTTATGATAATGCACATCGCAGTAGATATCATATAGATACCACGTCTGAGTTTCGTTCCTAAATCTGAGTCCCGAGAGAAGTCCGATTTTCGTAAACACGGTAATCGAACGACAACGATTTTCCGTCGAACTAGGAATGACGCGCTTTGCGTCGCTCGTTTTCGAAAACCGTCGGCGGTACCTATAGTGTCGTAGTGGAGTTTTTACCGAGTTTTTTTTTACTATGATATATACATATATATATACATATATATATATATATATATAAAAACTAACGCTCGTCGATTTATCAAAATGTCACATGGTCGACCGTAGTTGAGAACGATACCGGAATATTTTTGCGTAAATAGGACCACGTGAGACTAAACGTCTTAGACAACATGTCTTATACGAGTTTCTGCAGTATACGGCGCGTTATATTTAACAAATCACTCCTTATTTATATAACAATCAATATTTTTAAAATGTATAAATATATATTTTGTTATACCATTTACATCGTTTGATATAATTAAAAACAACAAAACAACGATATATATCGTAGGTATTTTAGAAACCTAATTTATTTGCAAAGAGATAAAACAACATTTGTTTTTTTTTTTTAAACTTCACTCACTTTTAGGCTTATTGCATATACATCAACGATAGTTGGAATCATGCAAAATTTAGAGACTTAAAATCGATTATAGTTTGTGTATTTTAAAATTATTTTTAAGAAAATTAGGCATTTATAATAATAAACTAGATCTGTAATATATTACATCAATACAATATTTATTATTATATATACATACTTAATTTAATATTATTCTAACAATAAATTAAACTAAAGATTATTTATTATTTTAATTTTTAATATTATTTTTTTATTGTGATGAATTAATTAGATGGTAAGTAAACCCAATGATTAGCTAAGACATTTATTTACAATAGAAAATTAATTTTTAGGGAACTTTGAGGTACAAAGTGTATTATTATTCTTACAAATAAAAATGAGCTGAAATAATAGAAAATTAATTGAATTATTCTTTTTTAAATTTACACTTTTTCCTGTTGCTTTATTTAATAATAACATTGTTTAAAGAAATTTAATTTTGTATTTATATGTCCCTTTTTATTTTTTGTAAGCAAAAGTCTTATACCTTTGACTTTTGTGGAAGAATAAGATTTTTATTTTTATTTTCAAATCTACTCTGGGCCAACAAACTTTTTTTTAAAGTTATTATTTTTTTTATTTTATGACTTCAATAAAACATTTGTTGAAGTCGTATTCTTATGTTTTTAATTTGTACAATTACTATGTTGTTAATAATTTTATTGTTATAAATATTTTTGCCACTTTAAAGAAATAAAATAGCTTTTATTAAACAACATTATTTAGTTTTCGTATTTTATTACTTTTTTATTTAATTTAAGCTCAGATATTACACAGTAATGATCATTAAACGAGTAAGCCGTTCTTGAACAGCAGAGCCACTGAATGTACCAGTGAGGAATTCACAAAGGTGGCAAAAAAAAATGAGTTGTTTAAAATAGATATTTCGCGGTCTGAATATCTCTTAGACCAAATATTAGAAATTATAGTGTAAGAATAGGATTCACTTCTAAGCTATATAAGATTAATAAGGTCTTATTTATTATTTTTTTTTTTTTATCTTGAAGTTTAATAATAAAAAAAACATTATGTACTAAACATTTTCCGTGGCCTTCCCAGTCGGGTGTTTTTTGTTCTTGTTCTCTCATATCTTTCATACCATTTTATTTATCTTTGCTTTTATCGGTTTGCTTATAAAATATTCACAGGACTACCGTTACTGTGGTGGTAGTGTAATGCATATCTAATGGGAAATTTACCGGTAGAATTTCAATTCACAAGAATAGTGGAGGCCGTACGGAACTCGGCAACAAATATGAAGGTGGTGGTTGTTTTGCAATAACAGTTACAGAAATTGGAAGAACCGGAGGAACGGGAAAGTTATTACACGTATACTTTAGCTAACGGTAGATATAGTACTGTTCTTCCGGCGTAAGCTATGATATAAATTATTGCCAAGAACGGACAACGGCACTATCGTTTTCAAAACTATCGGTACTTAACCAAAACACGGATACATATATTTAGTATCAGTATACGCCTATAACCGCTGTATCAGCTTTGCGATCCAGTAATTTCGTTAAAATATTTTTCAACCAACATTATCTGTTCTTAGGTGGGTATATTATGTAGTTAATGAGACCGTAAATGTAATCTGTATACATAATAATACGTAAGTAAATTTTATTATATTGCCATGCAACAAAATGATTAAAACAATTATTTAATGGTAAATGTGATTGTTTCTGTAAAATTAAAGCAAATAACCCGAGTAATATGCGACTCGTAGGGGTGAATTTATAGTTTCATGTTAAATATTTATGTACAAATTAAACTTTTAAAACCGAATATTGTTTACATGCGTGCAATTCGGCCGTTTTCCTCGAGGATTTGAGAATTTTAATTCAATGAATCAAAAAAACTGAAATAATAATTGTATTACAAAGAAACGTACGTAATATTCTGAACCACAAATACGATAAATTATGTACTCTGAAATAACTTAAGCAAAATCGTAATCAAATTAAATAAGTCACTGATATTTATTCAAGAATATTTTATGTATTAGGTACATATTATTTCATATATTGTTATACATCAAACAGTTGTATAGGTACTACTGTAATAAATATGAATATATAGCTTATAGCTTATAAATTAAAAGTAGAAACGTGTTAAATACAAATTTCCGATTCTATAAAAATAAATAGCGTCTATTTTAAAACGAAATAGTTTAATACATTTTAGACGTTAATAGAGTCTTTAAATATACGTTATACATATATTGTTATTTTATATTTCTACACAGAACACATGTGTATTATTATATACCGCAAGAGAAACAGATATAATATAAAGTACTTATAGTCTGTTGTAAGTCTATTATAATATACGACTTTATCAGAATTGGTTCCCACTGGGGTGCTTATATAATATATTTTCTAGGCTCTATATTTGAATAGAATACCACTTATAACATTTACGACAGTTTAATATCTAGGCTTAATAAATATATATAAAAAAAAAAAAATGATTAATTCAATAAATAATAAACCTGCAAAGTTGAATTTGTAAGTATTACTTTTAATTTTTAAATGATTTGAATATAGAAATTTTGATAAAACCTAAAATTGATATTTTACTTGTGTTTATTTCTGATGATTAAAAACTTAAACAATTATTTTTTAAATCAATAAAATATTAAAATAAAAACCCTAACAGAAATCCATTTAAGACATTTTAGAACTATCAATTTCAATTTTGTAGAATTTTAGAATTATAAAAATCTAAATTGATGGTTTAAAACGATATATGTACCCTAGTTTAAGTTATCGTGAACTAATTTTTATGATATTTAAAAAATTAATTCTATTCACTGCGAGTATAGCTATAATTTTTAAATACTGCGTTTCTTTTTTTATGTTACTATTATGTGTATAATAAATATTATAACGTAAAATATATATTATGACGTTTGAGTAATTATAATATCATTTTGTATTTTAAATAAAATACGGTTGACGTACAATTATTTACGGTTATGAATATCAGTATCAGCAGTACATGAATCATAAACGGTAAAGGCTTCATGGTTACGTGGCATTGTATATTGTTGAAAAAATACTGCGTCCAATCTTCCAGCTAAGCGTCATCTGCAAAAAAAAACAAGCATTTGTAGTCTTAAAAAAATAAAAATCTTATATTTACACGGATTTTATTTTATTTGACAATGGTGTTATTGATTTTATTCACCCGACCAATATATGTATAGAGGTAGGTTTTAGATTTTTACGATCACGGTTTCTAGTCTCTTGTGCACACAAGAAGTTTTATTAACAGCTGATGAGACACGTTTTCAAATGAGTAAAGGAACTTTCCAACTGGTGTTGACTAAAATGCATATAAACTGTGGTATTTTATGTCTGTGTATTTTATTCCAGTCTGCATGTCAATTGGAATATGAGTTTAAGTACTAGAATATAATTCAGTCCGTAGTAAAAAAAATAATAGGATAGGTTGAAACTAGATCGATCTATTTATGACTTGGTTCTAATAAGAAATGTTATAGAGGCAAAGACAAATAATATCAAATATTTATTAGAATGCAATAAATAAACAAAATTGTTTTAAGTTCCAATAAAACGTAGGAATATTTAAGTTACAATAAATTTTATCACTGCCCAATTACGTTCGATATTGTATTAAATACATATTACAGTTTAAAACTTGAAATTAGCTATATCAAATTAATTATTTATCAGATGTATTAATAATTTACGTGTCATTATTAACTTCTCGTCGTTATATCATTAATATTATATTTTGTTGATTACAACATGGTGTAACATTTGCTCTAGTAATTAAATTCAAATCGATTTTGATATACTTAAGTACTTTCGTATACACATACCAAGATAAAGACTAACATCAAAATCCACTTTGTATTTAAAGTGAATAGTAATTAACTACAATAAAATCGATTTGAATAACATAAACTTGATTTGAATAAATACCATAATGATTAATGTAAAGATAATAATTAAGTCATAATAAATAACTTAATAAATAATAATAATGAAAAAATATTCTAATCATGTAGACACGATTATGAAAAAGTTTGAAATGGACAGTCCAATGTAAACGTGTAATATAAAATAACAATAAATTAAAAAATGAACTAAAAAATATTTAAAAAAGCACGAATAAATGGCATACTCCCTATTATTTAAAAAGATGCCAGAAAATCGCCATCACAGGAGCAAGAATTGGACAAAACTTTTTAACCCACTTATACTTCAGAAGTAAAAATTCAGCATCCACATGCAACAAATTCCTAGTTGTTTTAACTATTAAAGATATAATTTAAGAATGTCCAAAATTTCAAAATGCATTTAATATCTGACCAACTATACAGATGAAGTTCTCAATAAAGAAAACACCTCAAAAATTCTATAATACGTATTTCTAACCAAAATTAATATTATTAATAAATTTAAAAACATCTATTATAACCAATATGCTATTGTTCATTTTTTTTATATTTTACCAAAATGTATGTATAGTATATGCAAGGCTAATAATTTTCGTCGTTAAAGCCTATTAAAAAAAAATTAATAAAACAACGATAGTATCTGTACGTGACGTTTGAACTGCTACAACAAAACGTTACAAACCCGCTTTAAATAATGTGTTTTCAATAAATTTTAGTAAAAATTCATATCATAATAATATATAATAGAACAAAGGTTTTCAAGAACAATAAATTGAACAATATTAATTGTACAATGTATTTAGCTATAGAGTTTGACAAGCGCTTGTTTTTACGATGGCCTTCATTGAAATCACGAAAGGTTATTTCAAAGAAAAACAAATTGTCTCGTAAACCATAATATATAGTTGGATTTAATTTTTGAAAATACTTAATCAATAAAATTCCTAACCATTTAAAGTAGCCGTAGAAGGTTTTAAGAATTGTGATAATTAACTGATTTCAACTTTTAAATCTCTATATTTTATTTAGTCTTGAACGAATAAAAATAAAACATTTCGTACATAAAAAAAATTACAAAAGTAGTACGAAAATAAGAATATTAATACTATATTGAAAATTCATGCTTAGAATTTAATATTTTTTGTAAGATATAAATACTTTTTCTAATATTGCGAGTATGTAATTTATATTTTAATTTAATAAACTCATTGACATTTGACATTGACATAATTAGTGTAGTTAAACAATGATGGCGGTCTGATTCGTAAAGAAATTTAAATTCCATTAAATAGTAAAGTTAATCCAGAGCTAGAGGTTTAATTTAGAATCTTATTCAAAAGTTTTGTATGATTTCGTTCATTCTATTATAAATTAAAATTATATATATATATCTTCTATGCTCTATAATATATAATAAATATGCTTTTTGCAAAAAGTTTTATTCTTTTAATTTAAAATTTAAAAAAATAAAATGATAAACTATTAGAAACAACTTTGAACAGAACAAAGTTAGTAGAATCGTTATTCAAATTTAAAATTATTAAATAAATTATTGTAAATTTCCAAAACTTATCATAGCATATAAAATTAAAATATTGCCCAATGAATTAGATTCAAATTTAAATAATTTGACATTTAACCTAAAAATAATAATTATTTTAATGCATATATTAAACAGAGTTGCAACTGTTGCAAGTATATTACAGAAAATAAATTCGAAATTGTGACGTAAATAAATTAAACCATGACTTAAACTAAACATTTTTATAATTATAATTAGTTAAATAAATATAAATATAGTTTTAAAATTTAACAATAAAAACAGAAAAGGCTGAAATAATTCTTTCGTTAATCTAAACTAATCTGCTAACACGTAGTAAATATATCACAACTATAATGATAGTAAATATTTAACATAAAACGAAACTACTCTTTATTTCTATGATGCAATGTATTTAAACTTGTATTAAAATTAAAACTATAAAGTAAATTATACATTTGAAATTTAAGTTTTATTAATTTAAAACACATTTAATACAATTAAATTAAATAAATTATAGTTTGTAAATAATTTTAAATGATCAAATAATTATCTGATACTTGATTTCGGAACTACCTTTCATAATATTCTAATTTATTTATTTTCCAATATTTAACGCAATTCACGTAAAATATTATGATATATTATAATAAATTAAGTGTTTGTGGGCCCAATTATAACGATATGCACCAATATAATTTACATATAATATTTAACGTTGACTATGTGTCTATGTAAAAAATATCCTTTAGTGAAATTCGTAATACCTCTGATAGTGAACATTAACACCATGCGCTTGAAAGTGTTTTTAAATTAATACTAATGCATTTCATCGATAATGTGTTTTGTCTGATACAGTGACATTGTTTTTATTTATAACATTATTCTGTTCCATATATAACATTCAACATGACTTGTTTTTTTTTTTTTTAATGTTAGTATATGTCCTTCAGTCTTGTCTATTTTATTTGGATACAGTTAACAGTTAAATTGATCGGTGTGATATTTGTTTTTTCGTTCTGGATCCTACAAGGAGCTGATATTCTGTTAAGTACATAGTATACACAGTATGTGTGAAAAAAGGTTTATATGTTCCATACTTCACCTTTATAGGTTTAAAATAAATATATTGATTGTACCATTAAATGAGTTTTTCTTCGAATTTCCCAGCGGTGTGTAAAATGAGATGCGCAAAAATGATGAAAAATAAAATAGTAACTATTCTGTTTCACCAAAAAATGTATGTATGAATGAATTAACAATGTTCAACTTACTATTTGATCGTTTTTTTATTTTTTGAAATTTATAATGTTATAATATCATTTTTTTCAGCTAATAGTATATCCATTCCAACAATCTGCTTTAAGTATTTTAGTATCAGTACTTTTTATTTTCAGTTGTAACAATCGATTAAACTTAAATATAATATTATCTATTGACTGTTACTGCACATATTATAGAAAAAGAAAATAAAATTTCTAAATAATATAAATAATAATCAGTCTTTATTTGTATCATAATATTAGTTATTGTATGCATTTTGTCAGTAAATGTGGTCCATGAATTTAATTATAATATTATGATGTTATTACTGTAGTTGACACTACACTGCCTGGTAGGTTTATTATATAAATATAGTGCAAGTTAATATAGTTGTTATAAATTACTAAAATGTATAAACTATATTATAAGAGTATGTGTTTAAAAGACTAAACCTAATATTTTCATTGAGGATAACGAAAAATTTATTTATTTTCATAGTATACCGATTGCATATTTTTTAAGAAATTTCTTTTAATTTGAGAGAACAACATTATTATAGAAGCACTAACATACTAATGATAAAAAAAGTTAGCCCTCGTTATAATTTGATTGATTCAAAACATGTGCCAATGTTTGGAAAATTAATAACAAAATTGAAAATAGTTATAAATTAGATTTTATATTTAGAAAATTATTATTTTTACTTTTATGAATTTGATAAGTTTTCCTCCAGTTCTCCTCTAACTTTTTTAGATTCGAAAAATGGGACAGTATTTTTCGATCGAACAAAGTTGTTTATGAGAAGAAGGGCCATTTTAAAATAAATGATGTGATATGAGAAAAACTTTGGTTACCTATTAATTTTTAGCAATAAATACACTTTTTACGTATCGTAATACATAGATTATATTTTAAAATGTCTGAATACACTATTATTTGTCCGATATAAATACAATATATACATATATTATATATATTTATATATTTAAAATTCAGGTTATTTTGATTAATTATTTAAAATATAATTCACTCATCCAACTCATTTTGAGTGGAGTATACCGTAACATAATTACGTAATTAATGTTTATTAATTTTTAATTCATATATCGTTTCTGTTTCATAAAAAAAAAAATAAATACAAAATTTACATGTAAGAATAATTTGTTTTATTTTTATTTGTGTAGGTTCTTATACGTAGCGTGCTAAATCACCAATGACAATGAAACATTTTTTTCTCAATGTTCATTGGACTTCAAGATTCGTAATATATTGTTTGAGTATTTCAATTTCAATGTATTGATAAAATGTAAATAGTAATTCATATTTTTTTGTGTTATAGATAGTTAAAAATATTTATG